GGCAGAAAGAAGTGAATGAACATCCTCTTTGTGGTTTTGAGGGGAGACTCCCAATGTGGCTGGGAGCACTGGTCACTCTCATCATCAGCCTGGACACCTGGAACTTCCTTCCAGTAGGACTAAAGGGGATGCCTGAGGCCTTTCACAATCCCAGTAGATGAAAAAATGAGAAATTGGGTAAATGTTCCCTCTAGGGGAAATGCCTTACTATACTTAGTGCTGGTCACAGGGAATGACTTGGTGGGGGATCTGCAGGTACAAGGTAACCTAGGGGACAGTGACCACCTTTTAATAGAGTTCACTATCCAGCAAAAGGTGGGGAAGATAACTAGTAGGGCTGAAGTGCTAGACTTCAAGAAGGCCAACTTCAACAAGCTCAGGAGATTAGTTAGGGAGGAACTGATGGGCAAAAGCATTGGAGAGATGGGAGTCCAGGAGGGGTGGGCTTTTCTCATGGGACTGATCCTGCAGAAAGGGACCATCCCAGTACACATAAAGGGGGGCAAAAGAGCAAAGAAACCCTATTGGTTGAGCAGGGAAATCCAGGAGAGCCTGGAGGTGAAAAGAAAGGCTTACAGGCTGTGGAGGCAAGGGGCAGCCACTAAAGAAGAGTATACCTGCTTGGGTTGAGCTTCCAGGGAAGCAGTGGGAAGAGCTAAAGCAGAATGGAGCTTAGGCTGCCAGCAAAGTTAAGGATAACAGAAAGTAATTATTTAAATACACAGGAAGTGAACAGAAAGCACAGGGTAACATAGGGCTCCTTCAAGATGGACTAAGGTAACTGGTAACAGATAGGATGGCCAAAGCAGAGCTCCTAAATGATTTCTTTGCAACTGTGTGGTTTAACAAGATTAAGTGCCATGTGTTGTGTTCTTCCTAGGGAGGAAGAATCATCAACACACCTATAACCTGGGAGGTACCATTATAGGTACCATTATAGGTAGCACAACTGTGGAAAGGGATCTTGGAGTTGTAGTTGACTCCAAAATGAACATGAGTCACCAATGTGATGAAGTAAAGCTAGCCACACTCTTTCTTGCATAAGTAGGTGCATCACAAACAGGTTTAAGGAGGTGATTCTTCCCCTCTATGCAGCACTGGTCAGGCCGCAGCTGGAGTACTGCATCTAGTTTTAGGCGCCGCACTTCAGGAGGGATGTGGATAACCTGGAAAGGGTTCAGAGGAGGGCCACCCATCTGATTAAAGGCCTACAGGAAAAACCCTACGAGAACTGATTGAGGGACCTGAATCTCTTCAGCCTCCACAAGAGAAGGCTGAGAGGTGATCTTGTGGCTGTCTATAAACTCAT